CACGACCCATTTTCAATGCCCTGGCTGAGGGAAGGAGGTTCTCACCCAAATTTGATGGTACATGGCCCTGTCCACCACCACCACCACCACCATCATCATCGTTGGAAGGGATCTTGGAGGCCATCTAGTCCAACCCCCTACTCAGGCAGGAAACCCTATACCATTTCAGACAAATGGCTGTCAAGTCTCTTCTTAAAAACTTCCAGTGTTGGAGCATTCACAGCTTCTGGAGGCAGGTTGTTCCATTGATTAATTGTTCTAACTGTCAGGAAATTTCTCCTTAGTTCTAGGTTGCTTCTCTATTTGATTAGTTTCCATCCGTTGCTTCTTGTCCTGCCTTCAGGTGGTTTGGAGAATAGCTTGACTTCCTCTTCCAATCCCTGAGATATTGGAACATTGCTCTCGTGTCACCCTTAGTCCTTCTCTTTATTAAACTAGACATGCCCTATTCCAGCAACAGTTCCTTATATGATGCGGTGAAGTTGCCCCCTTAGTAGAAAAACATCCCCAAAGCATAATGTTTCCACTTCCATGCTTGACGGTGGGGATGGTGTTCTTGGGGTCATAGGCAGCATTCCTCCTCCTCCAAATACAGCAAGTTGAGTTAATGCCAAAGAGCTCGATTTTGGTCTCATCTGACCACAACACTTTCACCCAGTTCTCTGAATTATTCAGATATTCATTGGCAAACTTCACACAGGCCTGTACATGTGCTTTCTTGAGCAGGGGGACCTTGGGGACGCTGTAGGATTTCAGTCCTTCGCGGCTTAGTGTGCTACCAATTGTTTTCTTGATGACTATGGTCACAGCTGCCTTGAGATCATTGAGAAGATCCTCCCGTGTAGTTCTGGGCTGATTCCTCACCATTCTCAGATCATTGAAGCTCCATGAGATGAGATCTTGCATGGAGCCCCAGACCGAGGGAGATTGACAGTTATTTTCTTCCATTTGCGAATAATCGCACCAACTGTTGTCACCATCTCACCAAGCTGCTTGGCAATGGTCGTGTAGCCCATTCCAGCCTTGTGTAGGTCTACAATCTTGTCCCTGACATCCTTGGGCAGCTCTTTGGCCTTGGTCATGGTGGAGAGTTTGGAATCTGATTGATTGATTGCTTCTGTGGACAGGTGTCTTTTATACAGGTAACAGGCTGAGATTAGGAGCACTCAGATAGTGCTCCTAATCTCAGCTCATTACCTGTATAAAAGACACCTGGGAGCCAGAAATCTTGCTGATTGATAAGGGATCAAATACTTATTTCACTCATTAAAATGCAAATCAATTTATAACTTTTTTGAAATGAATTTTTCTAGATATTTTTTTGTTACTCTGTCTCTCACTGTTAAAATAAACCTACCATTAAAATTATAGACTGATCATTTCCTTGTCAGTAGGCAAATGTACAAAATCAGCAGGGGATCAAATAATTTTTTCCCTCACTGTATCTCTTGAAGACAAATCTTTTTCCTTTTTTATTTTTGAAAAGAACCTTTTTATTCTAAATGGGGTCTTCTGTCAGTTAAGGTTTGTTTAGAATATTTTGAATTTATCCATAATATCAATTATCAGTTACACTTATGAAAAAGAGTTACTATTTAATCCAGGTTTTTTTATTCTCTTTTTTTTCTGAATTATTTTTGGCTTGTTCCGTTGTTGTTAATGGTTCAAATATATTGTTAATATCTCTTGTTGATTGTACTAAGATTTTGCTGCCATCTAAAAAAACTTTCACACAAAATGAATTAGTCCACCTATTGAGGTTGAACATGGGATTTTCTACATGCAAAGCATTTGCTAGCTTAGTGAGGTAAGATCTTGAAGAAAAGGTAACATATAAAGAATTGAATCTTTGATAAGCTCTGCAGGGCTGTTATAAGCAGTGATGGGATCCAAATATGTGAACAACCAGTTCTCTGTGTGGATGCCGCTTCTGGGCCTGGGCAACAAAAAATTAGCTACCGGTTCTGCCAAACTGGTGCTAACTGGCTGAATCCCACCACTGGTTGTAAGGAATATTCTTAGAATCTACCAGAGTTGGATTCTGACTGGTCAGATCCTTTGGAAGTGACTAAGACATATTTCCTCTTATTATCTGGAAGAGGTTTGAATTGCTTGATCCTGAGGAAATGGGCAAAGTCGTTGTGGATGTGAGCTTTGCCATCTATGTTCTAGACCAATGACCTTTTGGTTAGCTAAGGCCTTCCAGGAGGTGGCATGTGGCTAGGTCAAATGCATGGTTAAGGCCTCTCTTAGGGGTAGGGGAATTGTACTACTTGCCTTGAAGGAAGCAGTACTCTTCTCTTCCGAAGAAACTATCCTTCAATCTAGCTATGTTAGATAACTTTTGTTCTGTCTTCAACCTCTCCTTTGTGATAAGGGTATTGAGAAAGTGATTGCTACTCAACTTCAGTGGCCTTGGATTAAACAGATTATCCCAAATGTGGGTTCAAACTGGCATACAGTATTGAAATAATCATGGTATTGTTCTGGACCTGCTTCAGATATCAATACAAAGGCACTGTATTGTGGTGGTTCTCCTCCTCTCCTATGGCCAGTCCCAGTTGGTGTTGTGGTGGGGAGGAGGTTGAATCCTAGGCCAGGGCTTTTCAACCAGTGGTACGGGTACCAAATGTGGTACATTGGCACCTAGCAGATGGTACACGACCATCCTAGAAAAGTGGTAGCGGGGAGGGGAATGAGCTGAACCAGTGGCAGCACTGTACAAGCCTGAGCGAGAGATGGCTGGAGCTGCAGGGGTGTCCGGGCTCAGCGGAAGCGCCAGGATCAGTGCCAGGCTCCAGCTGGAGCTCAGTGCTGATCCTGGTGCTTCTGCTAAACCCTGAAGAAATACCAATCAGCTGGAAAGCAGCACTGATTCTGGCGCTTCTGCTGAGCCCAGAAGAAGCGCCGATCAGGTGGAATGTTGTAGCATCTCCAGGGTCTTGTGATTTACATTCAGATGCTTGGCAACTGATTCATATTTATGACGGTCACAGTGTCCCAGGGTCATGTGAAGTGACCAAAACCTGCTGCAACCACCCAGCAGACGGGGGGAATAAAAACCAAACACCCACACCCCACCCCTTCTGCCAATCCTCAACAGAAATGCTCACAACAATGAAAACCTCGGACAGAAGGAAGAACGCGGCCGGGCAAGCAGGCAGGTGTCTTGCTCAGCTGTGGCTTGGGGGGCACTTTTTTCAGTGCCATTTTAACTTCGAACAGTCACTAAGCGAACTGTTGTAAGTCAAGGACTACCTGTACTTTATCACTTTTTTCCTTTTTTTTTTTTGGTCATCAAGTTTTTGACACCTTGCTAGGCAACTGGTGGTACTCGGATGTTGCCATATCCTAAAAGTGGTACAATGGGTGAAAAGGTTGAAAAGCCCTGTCCTAGGCCCCTGCAATGACAGAGTTTATCAGAGATCGGTCTTTCATCTCTTCTCTTTAACATGTACACCAGTGTTTCCCAACTTTGGCAAATTCCAAGTGTATGGATCTCAATGCCCAGAATTCTCAACAATAACTATATTGGCTATGGAATTCTGGTATTTAAAGTTAATACTTCTTGAAATTGCCAAGACAGGGATATACTGATCTACATGAAACCACTAGGTGATGTCATTCAATGGCATGCAGTACAATATCATCTGTAGACTAATGATAGACAGAAATGCAGTACATGCCCACTCCAAACCAGACAGTTGATGGAGGCTGTGAGGCTCTGGATGACTTCAATTCAATCCTGGCAAGATGGAGTGGTTTTAGGAATTGGGCCCCCCAGCATCTGGGGATGTGTCATCTTTGATTCTGGATGAGATTCCACTCTCCTTCACTGAGATGGTGAATGATTAGGGGGTCTTCCTGGATGACAACTCCTGCTTGAAGAGTAAGTAACACTTGTGGCTAAAGGGAGCTCTCCACAGATTCATCTTGTGTGCCAACTGTACCTTTTCTTGCCTTGCTCACAACCAGTCACACCTTGATCATGTCCCATTTCGTTTATTGCAATGCACTCTACATGGGTGTTCCCTTGAACATCACCTAGCTCAGAATACAATGCTGCATGTAGCGCACAGCACTCTGTAATGGAATGTGGGAATGATCTTGGGAGATGGGGGTGGGGAAAAGATACTGCCTTGGAAACATCAGATGTACTAGAAAGCCTGTAGTTGCATAAAGAAGCTCAGGAATGATCCTTCCTAAGTTATCAGGAAGTTAAAAGAGACTTGCAAGATTCCGTTAATGTAGTGTTACAATAAATAGAATTAGCTCATCTAGTCTGTTTCCTGTCTGAGCCACCTGGGAAGGCTGATATGTTGCCAAATTGTCCCACATTACATTATATTACAAGGGCTACACAGGTTTCCAGTTTTCTTCCAGGTGTAATTCAAGTTGCTGTCTTTCATGGGTCAAAGTTATTTGTGGGGTTTTGCCTCTTCCTGATAGGATCTGCCCATCCCATCAGATTGGAGAAGGTAGTACACTTCAGGTACCTTTCCTGAAATACTGGCCTATGGCAGGATCTAGAAACCTGCCTTTTCTGAGGGTGCCTCTACCTTGTGGAACTCCCATCGCCTGGACAATCCAGCAGGCCCCCACCGTTTAGTCTTCCAAAAGGCCATCAAGACTTGGAGTTTTTACTCAATCACTGAAGTAAAGTAATGGTATCTGTTGATGGTTATTGTGGCATCTGGGTTTTTAATTTTTTGCTTTATTTGTTTTTTGAGCCTCCCAGAATTATGTTTAAAATCTTTTAAATAAATAGATTTAATTATATGTATAATTAGTTGGTAATTTGGTAGTGGGTATTTTAATAGTAGTGTCTATTCAAAAGCTGGTTTTCCTTCAAAGATTTTGTTTCTGTTCATTTTTCCTGTTTTCTTAATGCTTTGGAGGGAAGGTGTTCAGGAATACAAAATTTATAAAGCAGTTTTTCCAGTCATGATAATAGAAGTATATCTGACCTTTCTGTTTCTCTCTGTGTATATCTTTGCCAGTGGTAGCAGCTGTTCATGCCGTTTCAGGATCAGGATCTTCAAAGGCAGTGCAAGGGATAAGAGGAGAGAATACCACCCTACCATGCACCTTCAAAATTGCTTCTACAGAGACAATAAACTATATCTCTTGGAAAGGAAGGTCCTTGGGAAACAACATTATAGTAAGATATATACATATGAATTTGTGGGGAAAGTATGATGGCTTAGTGAGAAAATACAGTAAATGTTTTAAGGAATCTAAGAATCTTTTCTGACCATTATTAATAACTAAAGCAAGTTCCTATAAACGGAAGTATATTTTAGATAACCTAGTACCATATTACATAGAGGCTGACAAAGCAAAGACTGTTCTCAGTTAATGCTTAGAAATAATTGGAAATCAATACAGTTGATTCAGGTCTGCAGAGTTACCTTCTTTAAAGTGCATGCTAAACACTGGTCTGGCAACTACTTCTTTTCAGTAATTGACTTGTCCAAAATCTGTTCTAGGTTCATTCCATGTAGAGCAGCGGTTCTCAACCTATGGGTCGTGACCCCATTTGGGGTCGATCGACCATTTCACGGGGGTCGCCAAGCAAGGCTGTCTGCCATTTTTTTGTCCATTTTTTTCCCCTTTTCTGGCGGGTGCCTTACCTCCCTTGGGCTGGGCCAGCTGGTGGTTGGTCTGCTTCGTCTCTGCCGCTTGCCAGCTACACCTCGGCCGGTGCAGGGGGCGGAACCACGCATGTGCGGCACTCCCGGGCAGGGAAAGTCCTCGACTTACAACCGATTGGGTAGTCCTCGACTTACGACCGGTTTAGTCCTCGACTTACGACTGGTTTAGTCCTCGACTTACGACCGGTTTAGTCCTCGACTTACGACCAGTTGGGGGTCGCGGAATTAAAAAGGTTGAGAACCACTGATGTAGAGTACATGATAATTAATTGAAATAAGTGACCAGTGGGCATGAATCCCTGATCCCTGAAAAGTATACGTCTAGACCAGGGGTAGGCAACCTTGGCTCTTTTATGACTCGTGGACTTCAACTCCCAGAATTCCGGAGCCAGCCATGCTGGTTCAGGAATTCTGGGAGTTGAAGTCCACGAGTCATAAAAGAGCCAAGGTTGCCTACCCCTGGTCTAGAGTAATAAGCTATGGCTTTCCCAGTAGTAATGTATGGCTGTGGGAGTTGGACCATAAGGAAGGATGAGCGCTGAAGAATTTAAAATTGTGGTGTTGGAGAAAACTCTTGAGACCCCCTTAGACTGCAGGAAGATCAAATCAATCAATCCAAAAGGAAATCAACCCTGACTATTCTTTGGAAAGATAGATATTGAAGCTGAAGCTCAAATACTTTGGCTGCCATGTAAGAAGAGAAGGCTCATTGGAAAAGACCCCAAATGTGGGGAAAGATTGAAGGCAAAAGGAGAAGGGTATGGCAGAGGATGAGATGTTCTTTTGTTAACATCTTCACCTTCAGTTTACTAATCTTAAAACTTGCCAATGCACCAAATTCTTTTCATTTATCCATTAATAATTCTGTTCCCTTTTAAGGATCTTTCAGAACCAATACCCAAACCATCTGCAAAAACATTTGGTTATCTCTTTTTAATTTTTATGCCCACGACGCTCTCCTCTTGTTTTATGTCTCTATTCAACATTTCAAGAACTAAAGTAAGAGAGAGGATAATGGCCCTCTTGCCTTGTTCCTTTTTGTATCTTACATGGTTTGGTTAAATCTCCATTAACAATTTCTTGTGGTTTCTGGGAAGTATAAATAGATTTTACTTTTAAATTTTGTTGGATATCACCATAATCATTATTTTTTTAAAAAGATAAGTTGAGGGTAGCAAGAGAAGTGACCACTGTGTTAGTTTATGCCAGTGGTTCTCAACCTTTTTAATGCCGCGACCCCAACCGGTCGTAAGTCGAGGACTTAAACCAGTCGTAAGTCGAGGACTAAACCGGTCGTAAGTCGAGGACTAACCAACCGGTCATAAGTCGAGGACTTTCCCTGCCCGGGAGCGCTGCGCATGCGTGGTTCCGCCCCCTGCGCCGGCCGAGGTGTAGCTGGCAAGCAGCAGAGACGGAGCAGGCCGACCACCAGCTGGCCCAGCCCAAGGGAGGTAAGGCACCCGCTGGAAAAGGGGGAAAAAATGGACAAAAAAATGGTGGACACCCTTGCTTGGCAACCCCCGTGAAATGGTCGATCGACCCCAAATGGGGTCCCGACCCACAGGTTGAGAACCACTGGTTTATGCTTTAGCAGAACAGTGGGAATCTCACTGCTACACTAACATGTACCTTCTTTCTTATCTAGGGAGAATTTGCTAGGAAGCTGTCTAATGGTTCTGAATTATATCGAGCACCTTACCCAGGTCGTGTAAGATTCTCTAACAATTTTAAAAATGGTGATGCTAGAATTACGCTTAATAATGTGACCATGCAAGACAATGGAACTTATGAATGCTTAATCGAGATAAAAGATGTGTTCCCTTCAAGAAGTGTCGACGTAGAACTTTTGGTCCTTGGTAAGGCATTCACTCCTTTGTATTACTGCCAGCCAAATATCTTAATTCAAGAGTATGTACAGTAAACAGGAAGCGCTGCCTGCAGTTAGTCTGAAACACTTTCTTCAATAATTCAGTGTGGAATATAATAGACACTCACTGTGTGTATATTGTAAACTTTTGTACAGTGCAGGGATGTAGACTGTATTCTAATACTTGAGAAGCAGTACTGATGACACTTGAGTGTTTTAGCCAGTTTTGCTACTTGATTGAAATAATCAAGAAGGCAGATGAACCCAGTTTTGTCTTTTCTGAAGATTTCTAGAATGCACAATGTCTCAGAAGAGGACGTTCCCATCATTTGCTAAATCACTTTTTAACTGGAAGTGCTGGTGAAAGAATTTCAGACATGTTCTAGAACCGTGGTGGCGAACCTATGGTACGCATGCCACAGGTGGCACGCAGAGCCCTCTCTGTGGGCATGCGCGCCATCGTCCCAATCTGGGTTTTATAAAACTTTTTGCTTTAGGCCTCTGCTGCCGTGTGCAAAAAAAAAGGTTCAATCAATCAATCAATCAATTTCAACTTCTCACGGGAAAAAAAAAGATCTCGCAAAGTTGGAATTGATTGATTGAACTTTTTAGTCCCGCCCAGTCTGCCATTACCACTGAAGCCATGCTCACCCAAAGGGCCATGCCCGCCCAATTGGCCACACCCACTCAACTGGACACACCCACTCAATTGGCCACACCCACCCAATGGGCCATGCTCACTCGGCATCCAACTATACATAAGTGGGTTTTGAGTTGTAGTTTGGGCACTCAGTCTCTAAAAGGTTCGCCATCACTGTTCTAGAAGCACGGGCATTGTCATCAAACTGTGGCATTTTCCCCGTTATTATATAAGCATAAGTCTGTATGAACAAGCTAAACAGGGAAGATAAATTGCATCTCTCTAACAAAAAATATTATTTCTAATAAATGGATTTGAAGAACTAGAATTACTAGTAGGCTTAAAATTTAAAGACTAGGGGATGGGATGGGATGGGATGTGTGTGTGTGTGTGTGTGTGTTGATGCTTCTCTCCTTATGTTACTGAACCTGCTCATGGTTATTGTTTTCTTCTCATCTCTTTTTCCAGTGCGTCCATCCAGTCCAGTGTGCAACATTATTGGAAACCCAGAATATGGTCAAAATATTAACCTGACTTGCAATTCTGTAGAAGGATCCCCGAAACCTGACTATACCTGGCAAAGTTATGATGTACAGAATCAAACCCGGCCACTTCAAGGAATAGCCCTAGGAGGTATACTCTTACTTCTCATTAATATAAATTAATTTTTTTACTTTCATTTTGTATTATTTTAAGTCTATCTTCATCATTAAAATGAGGATGGTCATTTGAATTTCTTAAAAATAGTTTTCTGTATGGGAAAAAAGTATGACACAGTATGTTCTTTACTCATACAAAAGCCACCTGGGACATATTTTATCCTCTGCCTTAAAGGAAGTTTTAAAATGTGAATGACAATCAGTGGTTTGCTATACGTTTGACTTTAGCATCCATTGTTTTGATACAGCTAGCTGAGTCTGCAGGGCCAATTTCATTCATAACTTTAGAGCTTCCCAATTTATGGGAAATGGTGGTTTTAAAGGAATTTTAGAGATAATCATTTCTAAATATTAATGATAGGAACTTTTTATCTACAACCAACTGTGTTTAAGCCCCACTTCTGCAAGTTACAAAAATAAGCCAAAATGATATTGCTGCAGGATGAGAAATAAAGAGAGGCTTTGCTAATGAGTACCCTTCTTTTAATTACTGAAGACTACATGTGCTTAAAAAACAAAACAAAATAGCTTTCTGTCTTTCCTGAGCATTTCTATGATGCCTTTATTTTTCCTGTAGTTCTCCACTATTCATTTCCTTTTAGGACAGTATGGTATATAATGATGCAGAAATGAGTAATTCAACATTCCATCTATAAGGTCTCATTTCTTTCCAGTGGGAGGTTGTTCCATGCTCACAATCATTCTATTCCCATAGCAATTCAGAATAATTGCTTGGTTCTTGTTCCATGGCAATTAAAACAAGTACTTTAATGTCTGCTCCTTGCTCTTTCAAAAATCTTGATAAAGGATCAATGACCAACCATCATGCATTAATTTTATTACAAGTAAAAGTATTCACTAATTGCCAGGAAGTAAGAGCATGCATGATTAAAATCTCACACTATTAAATTGAAGTAATATTCATTTACATGACTGGTATCATAAATAAACGCTGTTAGAATATCTATAATTTTGAAGCCAAAATGTGTGAGCTTGGCTACTTGGGTAGAAGAAAACATTGGACTTTGCTGATGCAGACATTATTGTCAAATGAGGCAACATCTCATTCAAAAATGTTAGGGCTCACTTTGGGGAAGGAAATCACAAACAGTTAAATGTAATTGCATTTTATATATTAAATCTGTGTTCTACATCCGTTTTGAATGTGAGGCCCAAGGCTCTTATTGGAAGGAATGAAACCATGTCAGTTTCCTGCAGTTTGTGATTTTGTGATTTCTCTCTATCAAACATCTTTGATACTCTCTCAGCTAGACTCAGAGAAAGACAATCTCACCAAGGAAAAATTATTCATTTTCTTTGACCCTTATGTTATCATATTTCTTCAACTGCACAGTTGGAAAGAGATGTCAGCCATATTATTAGACCAAATGAGAGGCTCGTGTGACACATTCTGGGAGATAGCAAGCTTGTATAGTTTCCTATAACACGCCACATGAGCCTAACATTAGCCTTACTGTATGATACTTAGTATGACATGATACCTGGCTTACTGTAGCTGGAAAATGCTATCCTGTTATACAATATTGTGTAAACTGAAATGTACTGATAATTGAAGGTGAAATAAAAGAGGACACCATCTTGTTTAACACAACAGGCCTTGCACAAAATCTGACACCAACACTATAATGAATACAAAAGGGAAGATAGCTTCTATCCTGGAAAATATCAAATAAAGCCTTGATTAGACTTTACTGAGTTGGGAAAGAAAATATATTAGCAATGTATACTTGCTGTACACCAGATAGACCTATAGATGGTAGCATCAGATCAGAAAATCTTCCCTAAATGCTAATAAATTACTTGTATAGCATTGTTTATTTCTTTTTCTTTTATTCTCCTTTTTCTTATAAAACAGTATAAGAGAAATATTATCTGTAAATTTACAGTATAGAAGAAGAATAAAGATTGTCTAATCTCTCTGCCTGTTTTTCTATTTAAATGTTATTCATATGACTGAAATAGAGACAGTATATAAAGTATAAATATTCACATAAAAGCCCAAAAATTGAGCAAGCAACAACTTCAAATTGTTTGGTCAATATGCTTTATTTACAAATGACTTTGTTTATTGTACTTCTTTACTGTCCATTTGTAGGAGTTCCTTGTGCAATATGTAATAAAATAAAGCATACTATAAATCGTTTTAGAGCAATGTAAAAAGCCTACAATATAAAACAATATTGTAAAAACAGTATAAAAGTCTACAGAAAATACAGCACAACTGATAAACTAAAAAATTAAAAGAAGCAGTAAATAATGGCGTAAAAATAAAAGAATGCAATCATAATAATAAGAAACATAGCATAGATTACAATAAAATATTAAAGGAAATAATTTATGTATAATATATTTCCCCCTCAAATGGAGGATTCCAAGTTAATGCTTTCTTATCAATATGTGCAGATTTTCTATGCTCTTCTTTTATTGCACACAATTTTTAAGTGCTGCTTCTTCACTCAATCACTCTTCTCCATTGCATGACGCTTGAGTCCGAAGATTTGCATGAAAAGGAAATTCCCCCTTATTTATTCATTCATTCTGTTTGAATGTGCAGTTTTTTCAGGGGCTGATTTTCATTCATTTCATTCATTCATTTATTGGACTTATATGCCGCCCTTCTCCCCACAGGACTCAGGGCGGCTCACAGCATATTAAAACAATATAAAACATTATCCCCAATAAAAACCAATTAAAAACAAATATTTGTCGCTGTGTCTTATTAAAATCATTAAAATTGTCCCTATTTAAAATTCACCCTAGGCCAGACTCGCTTGCTGAAAAAGCCATGTCTTGAGGGCGCGGCGGAAAGCTAGGAGATCCGGAATCGTCCGGATCTCGGGGGGTAGTTCGTTCCAGAGGGTGGGGGCACCCACAGAGAAGGCCCTCCCCCTGGGGGTCGCCAGCCGACACTCCTTGGCCGACGGCACCCTGAGGAGGCCCGCTCTGTGGGAGCGTACCGGTCTGTGGGAGGGAATCTGTGGCAGAAGGCGGTCTCGGAGATATCCAGGTCCGATGCCATGGAGCGCTTTAAAGGTGGTAACTAACACCTTAAAGCGTACCCGGAAGGCCACTGGTAACCAGTGCAGCTCGCGCAGCAGCGGTGTTACGTGGNGAGGTGACGAGGGCATGAGTGACTGTGCGCAAAGCGTCCCGGTCCAGAAAAGGGCGCAACTGGTAAATCAGGCGAACCTGATAAAACGCCCCCCTGGTCACGGCCGACAAATGGTCTTCCAGTGTCAGCCGTGGATCCAGGAGGACACCCAAGTTGCGTGCCCTCTCTGAGGGGGCCAAAGTTTCGCCCCCTATAGACAAACCAACCTACCTGATTCAAGAACAGGTCCTCATACTGCAATGTACAAATGGCTTGACTGGGTATCTGTGGAGATTCAAGTTGCTATTATGGGAGACATTTCTTGCAATATTTCAAAGTTAGATTACAATTTATTCCTTATCCTATGGCCAAGAGAAGAATTACGAAATGCATGGAAAATGATCAGATTCATGGCATTTAACTAATTTAAATTATTAATTTAATTGTAGTCTTTGATCCAGGTCTATTTACTTCCTAGTGCATGATCCCCAGCACAACACTGAAGGCTAAGTACTGTTCCTGAACTATTTAGAATATGCATTGTATAGCATATTACAGCTTTTTTGTTGGGCAAATAAAGAAACATTTAAAATATTATTAGGAATGAAGCTTAGAAATTTCTATATAACATATCATTTCATATCTATGTCTCCTGCTCCTCCAGGTAAAGCAAATATTATATACAGTCTCTTCTCCATTTATTGTTATAGTCAAGGTAATCCCATGAAGGAGAGAGAAATAGTGCTCAATCACCCATAACATGTCATGGATGATTTTCAACCTTGACTTATGGATATTAATCTCGCTTCTCAATCACTACGCTACAATGCCAATCTATGTTACGGTACAAGACGAGATCTGCTGAGGGCTCACTTTCAACTGCCGAAGTCACTGCTACTGCTCCCTTTGATTATCATTGCATTTCTCTTGTCACATCAAAAAAGGCAGCATTGTAACAAGAGTAAGATGAAACACTTTCTTAAGCGCATTTTTCTCTCTTGAGGGGTATACAGTTTAGATAAGAAGGAGGGAGCATGTGAATAAGCAGTGGGGAAGTAAGTTGGAAAAAATCCACTAAAGACATCTTGTCTGAAATTTCTTCAAAACTGGCAGCCAACACTGCCATCATGGCTTTCATCCAAATGCTTATAGCATAAGCACGTATCCATAAATATGTCCTCTCTCATCAGTATGCTATGATTTCGTAATGCTGATTCCCACAAATAATGAAATTCTTTAGAAAGATGGAGAAAACTTTGCAGATGATAAGATCATCTTTGCCTAACCTGCATAGATCCTTGCTAGTCCAATATAATTTTCAGGCAGACGGCCTCGCCGGGATATTAGCTGTGTTCTATTACTAAAGGTTTATTAATGGATTCAGCATATTAGTCACATGCACTACACCAAGTCTGTTTACAATTTATTTCACAGAGAATGCTAAGCTTTGTACAAATTTCACTGAAAGGTCTCACCTGCATTTTATATTTGCAATAGTTAAAAATATGCTATTTCTAGATTTGTGAAAATATAATTCCTTATCTGGAAATAAATCAGAAGGACAAGAAATCAATTTGTATGTTTGAAAATTAAAGCAAAAGTCATATACAGTTTTGAACCACAGATGCTATTACAGTTAGTGAATAGCTATCTGAGTTCTAATTATTATTATATTCTTTTACATAGTACATCCTTTAATACATTACTTTCCCTGAAGGATTTAATATATCATGCACACTTATAAACCTTGGTTTACCAACCATAATGGCTGTGCTTGCACATTATATTCAGTCAAAAGCAAATGAACCATGTCATGAGACTTTCCCATTGCGTTGAGTTAAAGTACTGCCCACCAATCTTTGAGTAGGGAGAAAATTATACCGGTATGAAATCTATTTTCTTTTTGCTATACTAAGTCTCTTGACTCTGTTCCCACTTACTGCCAATCATCTAACTTCTCCCAAAGATAATTGGTGACAAAACCTGACAGATTTTATATACCTTTAGGCTGTCCTTGGATTGTGTTCAAATAAGGTGTGTATCTGTGTGAGGGGAATATTACTTTAAGAGTGATAGCAGTAAGGATGACTTGAACCTGACTTTTTTTCCTGCGGAAAAGAGAGAAATGTCATCCAGAATCATCAGAAAAAGATGTTGCCAGGACATTGGTGTCATGGTTAGGTGTGGAAGGGGAAGGAACAATACACAATGTGTGAACCCAGCCCCTGGTTGTTTATAGGGTATTTTCTCTTTGCTTAACTTATCATTGAAAATAAAACTGGGACAAGACTACGTTATATGACTTCTTGACTTCTTAGTTGGTGTGCTAAAAGATTTTAGAAGATTACAAATGAGGTCAACAAACATAGCAATTGAACTTTATTATTAGGATTCCTTGTATCATGTTTTATGGGATTATACATCTGCTATGAGATCATCATGCTAAACTGATTTTATATATGGCAAAGTAAGAAACAGTGAAAAAAAATATTTTTCTGCTTGAACTTTGCTATGTGATCGGACCATTTTTCTTGTTTTCTACCAGGAGTGCTAATGCTGAACAACATTTCTATAAACACCACCGGATACTACATCTGCGTTTCCCAGAACATTGTTGGAGAGAACAAATGCAATATCACGGTTGCTATTCGACCTCGTAAGTGTTTGGAGATGCTTGGATGGAGTAGAATTAAATAGAAGAGAATACCCCATCGATAAAATAAGCCCATAAGTTTTTTTAGATCAGGCAGAATAGCTCACAATAAGAATTACATGTTTTACTGGCAGTTGCCTTCTGGAGTGCTGTCCTACAATTAAGCACAGATTCTTGCTCATTCACTTTTTACAGGCCTTCCTAGATGATATTATCAGATCATCCTCCATTTATGTTTTGTCCACAGCAGAGCTCTTTTTCTGCCTCTAAGAGGTATATTTTGTGGTATTTATGGTTATCTGTTATGTAGGTGAGCCAATTACACATCTGTGTGCCACAACAGACTTTCCCTAATTAAAAAAAAACTTGTAAATGGTTTAACTTTTTTTTTTTGTTTCAGCCTATACTTATTTTGGAGTAGTAATATAAGTGATGAAATACAGCTTTTAAAAAGAAGTTTAACCCAAAACATTTTTCAAATTGTGGGGTTTTTTTGGTGGTGTTTTATCATCATGGGGAAAAAGGGAGTTATTTTATTGTTTGCTTCTACTTTTTCACTAAACTAAATAACTGTGCAGTGGCTCCACAATTAAGGACATGTGTCAGCACATTTAGTAACTGTCTGAAGAAGGTATTGTCAGATGAAAAGTCTAGATGCATTTTGTCTGTGCAACCTATTATGTTCCATCTACCAGAATGCCAATGAACAAAATGGAATGCACAAACAAAAATCTCTAGATTCTGTTCAATTAACGTCTTGATCAAGGGCAGTTTATAGCAGTCTCTCAGCCCCCATTATAAATAATAACAAAAATTCCTGACCACTATGATACTGGAAGTACACTGAAAAAAAATCATATTTTTTAAATGATATGGAAGATTCCAATCGTGCCCACATGTCTACTTTCTTCCCTAACTTCATTTCACCCATTTTAAATATTTCTCACCTGGTCTGGTATTAATTAAATGATTCTCTGTGTTTAAAAGTAAAAGATAAATTCTGCCACTCTTGTATGTCCTCCCTTTATTAAGGTAGAGCAGCGTTTCTCAAACCTGGGAACTTCAAGATGTCTGGATTTCAAATGCCAGAATTCAACTTCCAGAATTTTTGGGGTTGACATCCACATTTTTAAAAATGCGGTAGAAACCCAGCTACAGAAGCGACAGGTGAACAGGGGTACAGCCCCACTTGCCACTTGTGCAGAACCATCTTCTCTCCCACCCTACCCCGCCGGTCACAAAGCCGGAAAGTTTGGGGAACTCTGTGTACAAGACAGAATTTTTTTAATCTTCATTTATTTCCTGATAATTTTTTTCAATAATATTAATAATGTTTTTTATACTTCAAGTATAACTAATGTCAGTTATCATTCCTTGACAGGTAGGCTAGAATCACACTCTACACCCAAGCGAACTGTACCCTGTGTTTTTATTCTTTTTGTGGAAAGTTCTGCTGCTTAATTACTCAATTTTCTTTAGTACTCTGCTGATATTCAGGAGAATATTTTTAAACATGTTCAAATCCCTAACAAATGTGTTTTCTAAAACACAGCAGAAGGGCTTATCGGTTCTGTGATAACTAACAGCTAGTCTTTTCTTTCTACAGCATCCATGAACATTGCTCTTTATGCTGGGATCGTTGGTGGGATCCTTGCTGCTATCATTATCATAAGTGTTTTGGTTTATTGTTGTTGCTGTAGGAAATCAAAGAATCCGGAATATGAGGCAACGTGAGTGTCGTTTGATAAAAAATGTGGGGGTGAGATGGGATAGGAAGAGAGAGAGAGAGAGACTGTCTATTTTAGAGGTAGGGTATAAATTTCACACCTAGTTTTTTTTTTCCTTAAGATTATTTGCAGCACTGTTCACAGTTGGGCTAAATAAAGCTTAGTAATGTCAGTATGGTTCGTAATAATGGGAAATTTGCATATTGTGAATTAAAATTTAGTCAGTATTTTCCTGACTCTGACACTACCATATTATTCTACACCTACAGATTTGCTCATGCCTGATATAGCAAAACCAAGCACAGTCTTTCAGCCCTTTCATCAGGTGCATTGTTAAAAACTATCTATGCATCTTTTCCTTTACAAATGATTGGTGGATTTTAATTCCCATTCCATAAAACATTTTCTAGCTTTAAAGTATTCTTCTTAAAATTATACTATTCAGATGTAATATATTACTGCTTTATTGGGGGGGGGGCAGGAGGTGTAGTAATGATAAACCAATTGTTTGAGATAAATCTATTATGCCAGGAAAAAAGCTATGACATCTAAAAGGAGAACAAATGAAATAAAAATAGTAATTTAGAAATTATTTTACAACATCATTCTTGAAGTTAGAAATAGATTTTTGAAAAGCACTTTTTATGTAGCTCTTAAAGGCTCTTAATTTAAGCAATTAAAGTAGTACCTGAGATCTTTCAGGTACATTCTGTGTCCCAAATAGTCCCCTTGTACATCAGGCTGAAATGTCATTTCACTTTTGGCATATGGCCCTCAACATATTTCAGAAGCCTGGTCTGAGTGATAAATTTCCATTCTTCAAACGCCAATTATAAAGCTCCAGACTTTTTTTTAGCTTATTCTAGATAATATAAATATAACTGCTGAAAGACAATATTAAGAATATAGGAAAATCTTTCATTCTGTCACACTGAAATTTATCAAATAAGAACGTATTTAGTCATTGTTTGGAGTAGAAATTACTCGCCGCTCCCTACTTTTTAGAATTGGCAAACCACACTTGGTAACACATACTTCTTATTAAGTAGTCCCAAGTCACTTCGAAGGTTTCAGATTTTAACAATTACCTAAAAAGCGTAGTATACATTTTTTTACCATTTCCACATTTGGATATGCATGAGTTGCATAAATGAATTCATCAAACATCTTGAGTATATGAATACACCAAAAAAAATTTAACTACTTCTTCCCAGCCCCACCTCTCTATTCATTTTCTTGGCATGTTTCTAAGCAATCTGATTTAATTTATACAAAAGGCACACTGGTTAAATAAACAACAGAGGAAGACAGAAGAGCACAAAGGATCAAGAATTGCTTGACAGATAAACAATATAAAGCAAAATAAACACAAGAAAAAATATTTGTATAGCACATTTGGTTGAATTAAGGAAACTGAAATGATTAATTTAATGTTTTCTTAATAGTGACATATCTACTTTTTAATGCTTGTCCAAGAAAAGAACACTAGTCGACTTCTCTAGAGAGAACTACTTAAAAAGTATTGGCCTTGGAACTGCAAACTTAATTGTAGCTTTCTTTTTACCAAGTCCCTCTGAATACAGGATTTAGTTACAGCAAATTAAATTGCCAAATTGGTTTGGCAATTCCAGTTCTGCAATAATCAGAATGAGTCTGGTAGCATCTTTTCAAAATAACACATTTTATTTTAAGACATAAACTTTTGTGAGCTGCAGCTCACTTAATCAGATGCATGTAGTGGTTTAACTTATTTTATTTTAAAATACAGTGGGATGAAGTGGGAGTGTGGAGAAATACTGCATCATCAGCTTATTTACAGTAACTGCTCTCTCTTACTCGGTTGTGCTGGTAAAGCTTCTTTGTTCTAAAACTGCTACTTTAAGATCTGTAATGGAATGTTTCATGAGATTAAAATGTTTTGCTACTAAAATGTCCTTGTTTTGAAACCCGATATCAAATTTGTGTCTGTAAATTATTTTGTGCAAAAGTGCTGGGGTTTGCGATGGTGCTACTTTATTAGTGTAGAGCAGTGTTTCTCAAACTTGGGAACTTTAAGATGTCTGGACTTCAACTGCCAGAATTCAACGGCCAGAATTTTGGTGTCCACATTTTTTTAAAGCTGCCAAGGTTGAGAACCAATAGCACAGCTATAAACATTTGGGCTTGTTGCAAGTCCCAAAACTTCATACACAAAGTTAAAGGCATCTTTACATGTTCTTTTTCTAATGTGATAAATGCCATCATTTGCCAGCAATACCCCTCTGGATTCTATGTAAGTCAAACTGGCCAAATTGAGTTTAAGTGCATCAACAAGTTTCAGGCTATCTCAGAAGGCCTGAAAAAACACAATGGGCTTTGGACATATTACAAATATTATTTCATAATATAGTTGTAATTTGACTCCTATGGAACCTTTACTTAAATAACTCCCACCCCACTTCATCCCAGTGTATTATAAACTGTCAGTTAAAGCATTCGATGTAGATAAAGACCCACTAAAGATCATATTTTCTATGGTTGTTTGGTGGTCACATTTTTCCAGTTTATCAAAATGGATACAATGCTTAACTGTATTAAATGCCTTACAGAAGTCAATGTGTACTACATCCACAGCATTCCTTTGGTCAACTAATTTAATCATCTCATCAAAGAAAGGAATATGATTTTTTTTGGTATCACCTGTTTTTAATAGATCAATTTTACTTCTAGTAATCACTCTATTTGTTTCTAAGTGTTACAAACTCATTGCTTAATTATCTTGTCTAGAATTTTCCCAGGTGTTAATGTCAAACTCATTGGTCTGTAGTTTCCTGGGCTCACTTCCCCCCACTTTCCTAAATATTTGGTTCTTTTCCTTCGTTCTCTAGGTTTTCTCAAATACTTTAGCTAGTGGCTACATCTATCACTTCCTTGAACATCCTGGGATTTAATTCATCTAGCCCAGGAGACTTGAATTCAATCCAAAGTACTAGCTATGTTACCAATTTTATACTTATTTTGATCTACATTTCTTGTCCACTCCTCACAATGCTACTTCTGACAATTTGGGCTGCTATTTCAATCTGTGCAATTGCAAACTAAGAACTAAGCAAGTCAACTTTCTCTTTGTTGTCTGTCATCCTCTCACCATCTCCTCCAACAAGTGGACCAGCTGTTTCCTTGACTTTCCTCTTCTTCTGGAGATAGCTAAAGGATTGTTTTTGTTTGTGATTTTTGGCATTGATAGCAAGCATGATCTTATGCTGAGCCTTAGATACCATCCTTGTAGATTCAGACCATTTCCTCATATTTTGCTTTTCTTATGTCACACTTGTTCCTTTTGTTTCTCTCCTTTGTTTATCTTTGTTTAGAAGAGAATATTTGTAGCTCGGGGTTGAACTGTGTGGTCTTTGGTGGTTTCTGAGCTTGATTATTTTCTTGTTTCTTGTAAATATTTCATTACCAAAATAGGTAACATCATCAGTGTCATTATACCTAGTTTGGTAATGAAACATCTACAAAAAAACAATCTAGCTCAGAGACCACCAAGGACCGCAGAAACTGGTTTCATTAGGTGTCTCCTTCCTTGCCTGTCTCCACCCTCTTTGGTATTGATTGTGTTTGGAGCCTCAATTACCTATTTTTTCAAGAATTTCCCAACTCTCTTGAACTATTAATTTGAATCTGAAAAGATGCTACTAGACTCTATTTTTTTGGCTACAATAGGCTAACAGAGCTGTCCTTCTAAATGTTCTTCAATAATGATTCTATGAGTTTATTATTGCAAACCACTTAGAATAGCTTCTAGGTGATAGGCGCACCATAGAAGTTTAATAAATAAATAAGTGCAGTAATTATTATAACTATTTTTAATAAAAAAAACCATCCTCTGAATTAATCCTTTTATGTTTAATTTTTAGGGAGACAGAAAATACATTCCAACCTAAACATGAGAATGTTGTAATCCGGGGACCTTCCAAAGAAGAGATTCGGGATGAAGAGGAAGAAAGGCTACAGGTGTGATTTGTGTTTCAGTTGTCTAGAAGCAAACACTTCCAAACCCTTCTTTCCAAAAGAAAGAAAGAGAAAAAGTTGATTTATAATTAATATTACTTTTTATTCAACAAATGGGACCTTATGCATTGGGAGTAGGATGAAAATAGAGAATGAATAACCATGTAAAAGACACAGAAGGAGGAGGAAGAGGAGGAAGAGGAGGAGGCACAAAGCCGAATAAGAAAAGCTGAAATAAAAGGTACCTCAATTGCCAGGATCCTTCTCATCTGCTTGCCAGGAAGAAAAGAAAAGAAAACTTTTGGGAAGTGTTATCTTGTATCATGGATTTTATGCAAATTCTATATGCAGCAGATGAGAATTCTTCAACACTGACATTTTCTGCTATATTTGGAAAACAGAAGCAAAATTAAAGCCATCTCAGTTTCTATGGAATGCTTTTAGTATTATAAGACAAATATATAAAATCTATGGCCTCAGTTATGATTAGTTAGTTATCTTGCAGCATCTATGCACTGGATACTTGATAATCATTTGGCAGACAGGGTGCAGATCATATTAGAGCCATTGAGACTATGCTTGTTCCCCTGCTATTCCAGTAGTGACATATATTTGGAAAGATGTTGATTTCCCCTGAATTGTATATATTACTCTTGCTATATTTCGCTACTTCACTATCACAGGTATCTATTGACCAATATGTGCCTCCTGTCATCGTTCCGACAGACAGAGACAAATAAAGCAGAACTCCGAGGCTTGCAAATTCCTCAAAGAACATGTTTATTGATCCAAAGTATCAGCACGTCAAAAGTGAAACCAAGTCTGAATAGACCCGTAACCATCCCCAATACAAAGTTAAGAAATCCCACCCCTAAAGCTATGCAAGCTACTATGTTCCCCCATACATCTTCTTGGCGGCCTTTTCACGAAATGTCCAGCCTGCAGTCCTGGGAGCAGCCGATGACCTTGGTTTCCACGGGAGAAAATCTGTTTAGTCTAGTGAAGCACCTGGTAACCCCCCTCCCTCCGTGCTATGTGTCAACCAAAAATGAGTAGGGGAAATCGCTGCAGCCACGCTCATTTTCAAAGTTGACACCTCCATTGTGCCTCCAACTGCCTCCATTATTTTGTTTCTGTGTTTTTATTTAAATAGCCATGCTCTCTTCTAATGCACTTGCAACCACAAAGCACTTGTTTAGAAAGAAAACTATAAGTGCCTCTCCTGCTATTCAGAAATGTTTAATTTTCGCTTTTGTCTGCTGGCTTTTTTATGCTTTCTGCTAGCACTGCACCAGTGCAATTATACTGCTAATAATGATTTTATTTAAAAAAAATTAAAGAAAAGAAACTTAATTGCAGCTGGCTACAGCTTTGAATATATGGTCTATTAATAATTTTTATTCTAATAGTTTGCTATATTTTGGAAGTTGATTTTTTTTTAACTTAAAATACTCCCTCGCGATTAAATGTTGAGATATTTCAACACTAGTAAGCACTGTTAGCCACAGATCAGCCAAATGGGAACAGAATGCCTTGCCTAATTATTGCATCATTATCTTTACTTTGTTAGAATGTAGGATTTAGTGAATATTTAGTAATATTTAGTGAATAGAATGGTTGCAGGAATTGGGTATCTCTAGTTTAATGAAAAGGCGACTAGGAGTGACATGACAGCAGTGTTCAATATTTGAAGGGCTGCCACAAAGAAAAGAGGGTCAACCTACACTCTAAAGCAGGGGTAGTCAACCTTGGCTCTTTTATGACTCGTGGACTTCAACTCCCAGAATTCCTGAGCCAGCATGGCTGGCTCAGGAATTCTGGGAGTTGAAGTCCACGAGTCATAAAAGAGCCAAGGTTGACTACCCCTGCTCTAAAGCATCTGAAGGCAGGACAAGAAGCAATGGATGGAAACTACTGTAATCAAGGCCAAAACCAACCTAGAACTAAGGAAAAATTTCCTGATAGTTGTAACAATCAGTGGAATGACTTGCCTCCAGAAGTTGTGGGTGCTCCAACACTGGAGGTTTTTAAGAAGATATTGGACAACCGTTTGTCTGAAATAGTATAAGGTTTCCTGCTTGAGCAGGGGGTTGGACTAGAAGACCTCCAGGGTCCCTTCCAACTCTGTTATCCTGTTATTTTTTTATGGCACAGAATTCCTCACTATGAAAATATGTATGTTCATCAGGGATACCATGTCAAATATTACAAAATATCTAAAAATGTACCCAATCTTTCAGAATCGATATTCAAATTATATTCGAACATTTCATTCCTTTTTTATTTGGCTTGCTTTGCACTGAAATACAATTAAAAATAATTTTGTAAACCGAGCAGAGAATTTGCAGTTCTGCTTTTAGGCGTGGGAGGAATAGCAGGACATTAATGCTAATAACAGGGCATCTCAAATTATCTGATGACATGAGACTGAAATACAGCCAAATATCCAGTTGTACTCAATGGAACAGGCAGTTTTAAAGTTGGCATAGTATCATCTACATCCTATTAACTCAAAATTGATTCTCTCTCTCTCTTTCTCCCACACATACAATCTATTCATGGGCTCCTGGGAAGAACTGGCAAGATTTGGCCAGTTTGGTCTCTCTGAGATACAGTAAGAAAAGCCTCCTTCCTCTGTATATTCCCACCTAGCACTCTTTCCTATTCTTGAGCATCCCTTAGTCCAGCGGTTCTCAACCTATGGGTCGCGACCCCATTTGGGGTCGATCGACCATTTCACGGGGGTCGCCAAGCAAGGCTGTCTGCCATTTTTTCCCCCTTTTCCGGCGGGTGCCTTACCTCCCTTGAGCTGGGCCAGCTGGTGGTCGGCCTGCTCCGTCTCTGCCGCTTGCCAGCTACGCCTCGGCCGGCGCAGGGGGCGGAACCACGCATGCGTGGCGCTCCCGGGCAGGGAAAGTCCTCGACTTACGACCAGTTGGGTAGTCCTCGACTTACGACCGGTTTAGTCCTCGACTTACGACTGGTTTAGTCCTCGACTTACGACCGGTTTAGTCCTCAACTTACAACCGGTTGGGGGTCGCGGCATTAAAAAGGTTGAGAACCACTGCCTTAGTCCAATCCTCCGAAATCTCTCTCTTCAGGCCCCTTTCCATCTGAAATTGGGAGGAAGTGCTGATGATACTCAGCTGTACATCTCCACCCCAGGCCACCCCAACGATGCCCTTGACGTGATGACCCGTTGCCTGGAAGCCGTACGGGTCTGGATGGGGAGGAACAGACTCAGACTCAACCCTTCCAAGACCGAGTGGCTGTGGTTGCCGGCGCCCCGGCATAGTCAGCTGACTCCATCGCTGACTATAGGGGGCGAGACTCTGGCCCCCTCAGAGAGGGCACGCAACTTGGGTGTCCTCCTGGATCCACGGCTGACACTGGAAGACCATTTGTCGG